AGTTTGTGAGAAGGGAAAGTCAAGCTCCTTGGCAGTTGCTCAGCAATTTCTCTTCTCACACCAGTATTTTTGGGAAGGATCCATGTGGAAAGCTGAAAAGACTTCAGTGTTTTCATTCCCAGTCTGAGGCAGGGAGGGGAAAATGTGAAATTCCACAGAGCTAGCCCCCTGCTCACCAGCCTCTATCATAGGTCTGGATTTGGAAACGCATGTGGGGCTTTCCAGAACATTCATTACAGCAACTAGCCCTGAGAGCGACTCACTCTGGTTCTCATGCACTCTGAGAACATACTGCCTTTCATTCCTCTTCCTTCTCTCACACTGTTCTTTCTTCCTTTTTTTTTTTTTTTTTTTTGTTAACCTCACACAACTTTCTACATCTGTTTCCTCATTTCTAACAGGTGGACAATTATAAAGGACAAATGAACTGTAATTTTGCAACGGCCATGAAAACATTGAGCAAAGCTAACCAGAGCCACTGTTGTCACAGGATTAAATCTTATCAAGAGACCAGTCCTTCAAGGACCATGTTGAAGTCTGCCTTAAAGTAGAAAGCAAGATACCAAGTGTCAGACTATTGAAGCTATTACTACGAGTAGACTATAAGAAAGAGTCCAGAATTGTTCATTACCTGGGCCACACATCAGAATCACTTGGGAGCTTTTAACCCACTCACAGCTCTCAATGTCCAGGCCATACACTGGACCAGTTATATCAGAATTTTCAGGGATAGAACTTGGCTTTGGTGTTGTTTAAGCTCCATGAGTGATTCTAAGGTAAATGTGGTCCAAGTCAAAAACTAACAGTCTGGGGCCTCCCTGGTGGAGCAAGGGGTTAAGACACAACCTCTGAAGCTATCCATAGCCACTACGGCACGAGTTCGATCCCTGGCCAGGGAGATACCCACATGGCACAGCAGACCTCTCCTGTCTTGCCCTCTGCTCCCCTCAGCAGTGTATTTCAGTACATCTGCCTCTTCTGTTGCCCGCTCTGTCTCTGGTGAATCCTTTCACCACCTCTGGCCTACACCCCAGTTCTTATATGCATAAATAAAATTCTTTAAAAAAATTAAAAATATGTTACAAGGTGTCCCTGAATCTGGGCATACAGCAGAAATGGCTCCCAGCATTTGTATTCTTAGCTGGCCAGTCTCTGAGCTGCAGGGAGACAGCGCTGGCCGGGTTCAGAAGCCTCGTGGAATGTCTTAATGCAGACCGGCTGAGGATGTGTGCCTTTTGAATATGTGCTTTTCCCCCTTGAGGTTTGCTGGGAAAACAGTTACTCACGGAGTTTCCAACCACAGACTGAGTTTGGAGTGTTTCTTCATTCTCATTGTTTTCAAAGAACTTTTGCCTCATGAAACCAAAATAGCAAGGGAAAATATGGTCAATTTTCTGGTCTCAGCAAATTCTGAGCCACTTTGGGCCTAATTCATTCCCCCTCCCACTCCTGGCAAGTGCTACCCCCAATTGCTCCTCAGGACAAGACTCAGTGCGAGTTTTTTCAAAACAAAACCACCTGGGGGGATACAAATGCTATAGGGGAGACCATCCTCACCCCAGTCCCATAGCCTCTGACCTTATGGTGACCTCAGAATTTGCTTCTCACACCAAGCAGCCACCTTTTGTGACAGGAATGAAAGGATCATGGATTCAAGCTGCAGCTTTGCTGGCCAAAGTGAATTTTGGGGAATGAAGAAATCACTTTGTTTCCAGAGAAGTGGTCTGCTGAGCACCTGTGGAACTCGAGGTAGAGAGCTGTTCCTCAGCAGAGAAAACACAAGATTTGAGAAAGGTCTCTGGGCCTACACATTGATAATCCCCCCCACAAATAATTTAAATGTTCAAACCAGTGTACCATATGAGGGAATATGAGGGAAGCACACAGATAGTACCCAACATTCCGCAGTGCCTGATAAAGAGGATTTGTTTCACTTGGGGTACAAAGCTGCTCTTCCCCTAGAGCCTGTCTTTTTCCTTTTAAATCAAGTTGACTGAGGTATAATTTACTTGCAATAAAATATACCCATTTGAAGTGTACAGCTCAGTAGGTTTAACAAAGGCATATACCCATGTGTACAACCACCACTTTAATCAAGATTTAGAACATTCCTGCCTCCCAGAAAGTTTCCTCAGGCCTCTTAGACATCAGTCCCCTCCCCATCCTCAACTCCAGACAACCACCAATCTGCTTTCTGAACTATAGGTTCATTTTGCCCATTCTTGAACTTCGTATAAATGCAGTTAAATGGTTCTTTCAGTCAACATTATGGTTGTGAGATTCATCTATGTTGTTCTGAAGCAACATAATTGATTGGTCCTTTTAATTGCTGAGCAGTATTCCAGTGTATGGATGGACGAAATCTGGGTTCAGCTACCTGTTTATATTTGGATTGTAAGGACTTGTGTGCAAGTCCTTGGATTGTAAGGACTTGTGTGCAAATCTTTTTGTGGACATGAATTTTCATTTCTCATTTATCTAGGAGTGGGACTGCTGGATCATATAGTAAGTATATGTTAAACATACTTGCAGAAGAAACTACCATATTGTTCCCCAAAGAAGCCACACTATTTTGCATCCTTACCAGCTGTGTATGCCTTGGCTGTTCCACAACCTCACCAGCACTTGTTACTGTCCCTCTTTTAATTTCTTTTTTTAACTTTTTTTTTCAAAGACTTTATTTTTGTGTAGAACTCGGGTTCAGGCCAGAGGTGCAGGGTGTGTGTGAGAGAGAATTCACCAGAGACAGAGTGGGGAGCAGAACAGCAGGCTGAAATACACTGCTGAGGGGAGCAGCGGGCAAGACAGGAGAGGTCTGCTGCGCCATGTGGTTTAGCTCCCTGGCCCTGGCACACAACATGGCAGTGATAGCGTTGACGGTTAACCCTTAGGCCACCAGGGAGAACCCCTGTCTCTCTTTTAGATTCTAGCCATCCTAGTGGAAGGGAAGTGGCATCTCCTCCTGGTTTTCATTTGCATTCCCCTAAGGACTAATGAATGATTTTGAGTATTTTTCATATGCTTATTAACCAGTTGGATATCTTCGTGGATGAGATAACTACTTAAAACTTTTTGCACATTAAAAAAAAAATTGGGTTGTTTCTCATCTTATTGTTGAAAATATATAGTCTGAATGTAAGCCCTTTATCAGGTATTTTGTAAGCATTCTAATCTGGGTGGCTTCACCCATTCAACAAACTCTCATCAAGTACCTGCTCTGTCTTCAACTGTAGAAACAGCGTGACTAAATAAAACACAAACCCTGACCCTCTTCAAAGACTCGTGGTTTAGAGTAAGTAGATGGCAAACAAAGACCCTGTAAAGCAAGCTTAGGAACTGGGATATTATGCTGTGGAGAGCAGCATGACCCCAAAAGAGTTAACACTGGGGAAAGGCGAAAGGAGAGGTCATTCCAAGAGACCCTGTGTCTGAGAATTTTTGTTTCTGTCCTACCCGGATTTACCCTGCTGTGAGCTACTTGTGATTCCACCACAGCCTTATTTTGCCAGGCACATTTAATTACATTTTTCTAGTCCAGGAGGGAGAGTCCTACCCCTGCCTGCTTTGCAGGAACATGTCATCCTTCATCCTTGTGACTTGTACTCAGAGTAATATTGTCTGTGCTGCCTGAGTGTGTTTTAAATTAAAGCACCAGGGAATGTGGAGATGGTCATTAAGTTTAAGTGCATCTATTGTTAGCAAATGATGTCACTGCTAGCTTCTCCAACTTGTCACAAGAAGTCTGGATATATTTCAGGCTTCTGCAGCAAGGACTGTCCCTGTTTTGCAGCACACAGGCTATGAATACTATCTGCATTCTGTGAGGAACAGGAGAGCTTTTGGTGCACATTTAAAATAACATTGGCTCTTAGAAGCAAACATTCTGTCCCAATGAGTCAATCAAACTTCATACCCTTCTAGGTAGGACAAATGGCAAGGAGCTAGCTGTTGGTAATTACGTAAATGTCAACCTCTGTTTTCTGGAGGCTTCTGGAGATAGGAAGTCATGTCCTATTTATCATAATGTCCCTGTGCCCTGTTCCATTTTTTTTCTCATTTATTTATTAAGTCTCCATGAAAGAATGTAAATTTCTCCAGCATAAAGGTTATACAGTTATTCCCCTCATAATCTCCCTCAGTCTACTGAAGCGACAATGTGTACCTGTTGAGTCATGGAATAGAGCGAGTTCTTCTCTTTGAAATGGTAGGCTAAAGAGTAAGAAAATTCTATTACTGCTGTCTTTGAATTATCTGGTAAAAAATTCTCTACCAGCATTGCACACAGAGGTCTCTTACATGGATAGTTATAACTAAAAATAATCAAATTGTCCTGAAGATCAGAAAAACATATTCCCGTGTAGAATTATTTACTGGAGAACTTAACAAGGGATTTTTCCTTGAGTGATCTCAGTTAGATTTAGCAGCTGGAGCTACAGAGGTGTGGAAAAGTTTGTGATGAGTCTTTTTGGTATATTAACACCCAGACCATAACAGGACAAAAACATGGGGAAAATTTAAATGTCCATATCACACAATCTGCACATATTATTCACTTTCCCTTCTTCCTTTTGGGAGATGGTTTCTTCAAGAGATTTTTTTAACTAAGTGAGTTTAAAATAATGTAATTGGAAAACCACTGTTATTTTTGGTGATTATACAAATTAATTCATATCTGAAATCAGAATAAGAAAGTCACCAAAACGTTATTCCATTTATTTGGCTCAGGAGTTTTGTTTTTAAACAAAGGAACAAACAAAACACCCCACCACCTACTGTTTTTGCTCATTCTCCACCCCTCCCCCATGCGCAAACCTTCAAGGAAAACTAATCAGAACTGCTGTCCAAGTAGAGCTTTCACAGAAGCCACCTGAAGACCCAGCTCTCTGGAAAAAAGCTCTGCGGTTCCCACACATCCTCTAGCACCTTCTGTGGGCTTCACAGTCCCTGTACCCACTGGCACCTGTCTGCTAAGGGACAGAAGGAGCAGGCCTTGGACTCACCATGCAGCAGCAGGGCCAGCATCCTGCAGCCTTTCACACACCTGGTGGCTTAGAACCACCCAGCAGTGGGATCCCTACCTGAGGGGAGAAAGCAGGGGTCACTGGGAGCTCGGTAGGGGTCCTTTGAGAACTCAGATGCTCTGCCCCTCCCCACACCTCCACCTGCCTCCTGACTGCCCACACTCATTTCTCCCATCCACCTTGGTGTTTGGTTAAGAGAAATCAGTAACCCCCCCCCAATGAGCACACTCAGCACCTCCTTCCCAATCGAAAGCTTGGAACCTTCATCAGGCTAAAACCCTGCCTGCAAGTCAGAAGGAAACACTGACAACCCAGCAAGACAGTGGTCAGAGGAAACCTTTGCCGAGGGGCCTTAGTGAGCAGTCCCCAAATATCACTTACCATCCTGGAGGTCTCCCTGCTCCTCCTGTGGGGCCACCCTCAGTTCCCCCAGCCTATCTGTCCCCCAGCTCAGGCAGCCGCGGAGGCTAAAAGATGATGGGAGGAAGAAGCAAAGGAGGGAAGGAAGGGTAGAGAGCAGGGTGAGGAGGAACAGTTGCTGGTGCAGGCTTGAGTGCTTATTTTTCGTTCTCCAGATTTAATGGCAGGAAAATCCTGCATCAGATGAGGATTAACAGAGATGAAAGAATGTGTCTGCCCTTTGAATCACCAAAGCCAACAGCAGATTTTGCTGACACACCAATCGGCTTTGTCCACGGGCCTCAGCCACGCTGGCCCTCCGCCCTCTCCATCTGCTTGGTCCCTTTCTCTCCTTTAACTCGCCGCAGACCCCGCCTGCTGCGCTGACCCCAACCCCAGCCCCAAGCAATATGCAGACAGAAATTGGCTTCCTGCCACCCAAATAGCATTATCAGCATTTTCAACAAGGACATGTTATATAACTTGGAGGGGAAGGGACAAGACAGCTTAAAATAATGATGTTTTCCAGAAATGCAGGCTGCTGATTTTCTTTCCTTGGAGGGGTCGATGGTGGATGATGTTGAGCCACACTGTGGAGTGGCCTCCAGTCTGGCTTCTGGGTTGAGGGTGTGTGGGCCGTCACCCAAGGCAGCACACCTCTGGGCCATTTTCATTTTTTTTTAAGATTTATTTTTATTTATTTATACATACAAGAACTGGGGTGCACACCAGAGGTGCGGGGAGGGGGGTGAGACGATTCACCAGAGACAGAGTGGGGAGCAGAACAGGCAGATCTACTGAGATACACTGCTGAGGGGAGCAGCGGGCGAGACAGGAGAGGTCTGCCGTGCCATGTGGGTAGCTCCTTGGCTGGGGATCCAACTCAGGCCACAGTGGCTGGTGATAACTTGATAGCGCTGAGGTTTTAACCCCTGTGCCACCAGGGAGGCCCAGGGCCCATTTTCAAAATCCAACTGCTGTTTCTCAAACCCATCCAGAGTTAGGCACTCGCTACACAGAGGGGTCTGCTAAGCCCATGACCACAGGCAGCAGCAACAGCATGGGGACCTGGTTAGGAATTCAGAATCTCAGCACCCCCACCCCTGCCGCAGACCCCTGGAATCAGCTTCTGCATTTTAGCAAGGCTCTCATGCCTGGCAAATTTCAGCATGAAAGCCCCAATTTACGGAAGGGGCCGAAGAGGCCTGATCAAGGTGGCGGCGGCAGTTCTGCTGCCCACACTCTTCTGGCCCCAGCCGATGCCATCGCACCAGGCCTGGTTCCAGGGCCCGGACCTCTGTTCTGCTAGCACGGTGCTCCCAGGTCTTATCTGTGGCAACCTGCCACCTTCTGGTAGTGCTGCCCTTGGTGTGCTGGCAGTTCCCTTCCCGGAACAAGGGTTCTGGGTGTGAATCGAGGCGACTGATTCATTCACCCTGTGCCTTGGGAAATTTTTGTTTTCTTACATTTGCACCAAACTATGGCTGAACTTGCCATGACTGCTGCTGGAAAGGAAGCAGTGCTGGAACTGGGGCAGGGATGTGGAAGAAGGAACCCCCCACGTGAAGTCCCTCTCCCCAAGGGCGAGCTCACCCTGCACAAGTGGAAGAGCGCACAGCACCCCTTGGCTGATCACCAGTGTTGGCAGCATTCTTGCCCCTTCATTCCCAGTCTTAGCTAGGAGAAGGTTCCCCTCCCCCAGCAGCAAGCCAGAGGCTGAAACAAGGTGGCCAGCCCGCCTGTACCTGCCCCTTGTCCGAGGCTTGCTGGGTCAGCCTTGCCTTCAGTCTTCTCCAGGCTAGTGGGTCTGTTGCTATGGGCCAAGGGTCTCTCTGAGGAAAACTTTCTCTGCCTGTTAAATCAAACATCTCTCCCAAGTGGAAAATAAGGAGCAATCTTATAACTTGATAGCGCTGAGGTTTTAACCCCTGTGCCACCAGGGAGGCCCAGGGCCCATTTTCAAAATCCAACTGCTGTTTCTCAAACCCATCCAGAGTTAGGCACTCGCTACGCAGAGACTCTCAGGGGAGAGAGGAAGGGGCTGTCCACAGGCCACTAGCACAACTGACAACTGGGAGACAAGCAGACTTGGAATCAAAACCTTGCTCGCAAAGGCAGAAAAGCAAGGGCAGGGAGGGGCTGTCACAGGAAGTGTGAACTGAGCGGTATACCCCCAAGGAGAGACTTCAGAGAGGTCCCTGTTAAAAGAAGATCAAGAGAGCCCACCCCCAGTCCCTGGGGGCTTAGGGCAGACTGTACGGACACCGCCGGTGGCTAATGGGAGGGACAGAAGGCAAGAGGGTGCGCTAAGAGAGCATGTGAATCAGAGATGGCCCACGATGCGATGCATCCTTTTGCCTTTGCAGGTGGCCTTCTAGAAAAGCTTCCGTCAGCAGAGGGGGCGTGGGAAGCCCTTGTGTTTCTTTGTAATTCCTGCTCCATCGGGTTGGGGGCAGCCAGCAGGACTCAGCAAGGGGCCTCTAATAAAAAGAATACACAGGATTCCTCCTTCAGGTTCAGATGTTCAGCTGCCTCCTATGGACACTTTCAGGGGCCTTGGCTACTAAACTATGTTCTTTTAGTGTTATTTCTCTGCTCGCAGCCCCTCCTGCTTGCTCACGCACACATACACACACCGCATGGAGAGAAGACAGCGCGCCCGGGCAGAGGGCGTGGGCCGGGTGAGCCTGACTCCAAGTAAAGCAAAGCAAGGTGCCGGATTTGATATGAGGCAGGTGGACAAACTCCCCGCACCGCCCGGGGAAGGAAGTTGGCCAGCCTTTGTTGGAGACCTTCATTTACAAATGGGGAACCTCCGGCCAAAATGCAGTAGGAAATGTCCTTCTGCTTAGTTTTGGTTATCCCAGAAGCAGATCCGAGGGCCAGAATATGAGTGGAAGGACTTGATTTGGGAGCCCACTGCAGCAGCAGCCACAGGGAAGTGGAGGGAGTTGTTGTTCAGCAAGCTGGCCCTGTGGGCAAGTGGACCCTTTCTCCCAGCAAACTCTGGGGGACAGAATGATCTCAACTGTAGGGCTGAGAGCCAACACTCTTATCCACCAGTTCTCCTCCTGGGTAGGGGAGATAAACGGTTGTTCACTTTCCAGCAGCCTCTGGCTACCAGCAAAATAGCATGGATCCATTGATTCCTACAGAAAACTTTCCAGAGCCATGTGTGGTGAGAGGATTCCTTATAGAAGCTAGGAGTTGCTAAGCTGCCCCAATTTAAAACTGGAAAAGAAGCGCCCATTAATTACCAATGAGACAGGTGCAGGGAGGGGTATCACGACGTGTGCCCAAGGCAGAGCTGCTCTGGGACAGAGGGCCTTGTCTTGCTCTGATAGTGAAGCTGCCCTTCGGGAGCTTCAGGAGGGAGCGGGGGGGGGCCCTCCTTACTACTACAGCTTTCAATACTGGAGGCTTTGCCTGCTATTAGGACGCAGATTTCCTTCCGACCTTTCTACAATGTGGTCACAATTCAGACACTCAGAACCTGAATGGCCAGCCCAGATCTTTGCTCCTTTCTTTCCTTATTTCTCCACCTACTGAAACCCCAGCCTCCCCAACAGGCTTAGTACAAGTTCTACTTCCTCTAAGAAATGAGCCCCTTCCTGGCACCCTCCTTCCTCTCCAGCTGGCCTCTGCCTTGCCCTTTCTCAGGCTGGATGCTCTAAGACTGTGCTTTATCCAAGTCTGCACCTTCTGACCATGCCACCCTCAGGCCGTGCAAGAGGGAGCGAGGCACCCGCCAGGGAGTCACTGGGCCAAGGGACATGCCCAGCCACATTCTGGGTACCTGGGACCTCAGAATTCCCTGCCCAATTGATTGTGAACCCCCTTTCCTTGGTCTATACTGAGGCTAGACAGCACCACCAATGTGCACACTCAAAAGGTGGCCTAAAAGGGCAACTGTTTGCAAAGATTAGACACAGCTCGGGTGTGAGAACGTGTGGCATAGGGCCCTCGAGGTGGGGGATGGATCTGGCTTAAGAAGCAAGGGAAGCCACGCCACAGACCTGGAGCAGCTCAGAGTACTGTGGAATATAAGAAATTCAAACTTGAACTTCGCCTTACAGGTTGTTGGGGAAATGTATCTTAGGTGGGAGGAGGGAACATATATTTTTCAAACAGTTTGTAAACATAATATATGACCATCGTGGGTACTCTTACCCTAGGTCCCACAAACATTATGGGGAGCTTGTGTTTGGCATACAAGTGGAGGTGCACGAATGTTCGCGAAAGAGAATTGAAGCCCATGTGAGAATTTGTATGGGGAGCTGTAAAAAGGAAACTGGGGTGAGGAACAACAGCCTTGGCCCCTGGCCCCACCTTTTTCTCTGACTTCCTGGATGGTGTCAGGACAGGCAACCGCAGCCCCCAAGCCTAACAGTACTTGAGACACCTTCCATAGCCTAATCATTCTCCAAGTGGAGACTGAGTGCCACAAAGATTAAGTGACCCAGGGCGGCAGTGGACCTAGGACCCAGGTGTGCTGCCTGGGACCCTAACAAGACTGGAACACTAAAGATCCCCGAGGCCAGCAGCTGCCTGCGCAGGGAGAAGAGGCAGGAGGTGGTAGCCACTGCACTTCTTACCGAGTGCCCCTAAACTGCCTCGGCTGAACCCACGCTGTCGCTAAAGCAGCAAACTCCTTTGTTCTCTCTTAGCTTCTACTAGCCTGCTTCCCCTGTCCTTTCACTTCCTAGCTTCCCATCAAAACTCGACTCAAAGGCATCAGGATGGGATCAGAGGCCTCGTTTCGGGAACTGGCCTTGGGGGGAGGGGCGCAGAAGGCAGTGCATTCTGCTGACCGCTGATGCAATGACGTCGCCTCCGCTGCAGGACAGGAAACAGTTGGGGCGCATGCTCGCGCCCCCTTCCGTGCCTTGAGGCACAGGCCGCGCCACCGCGGTAATTGAGGGGCGGTAGTCAGCTTGCCGCGGCTCTGGACGTTTCACCCCAGCTCCTCTGTCTTTTCCCTCCTTCCCTATCCCGGCGCCGGAGAACAAGTTCAGCTCGCTAGCCCCGATTGGCAACCACGCGTGACACAGTGGTTTTTGTTTTTTTTTCCCCCCTTAAGGTCACGTCCTTGCGAAACCGCTGCAGCTTCTGCAGCATCCGCCCCGCCCCGGGGGCGCAGAGGCGGGGCACCCCGGAGCTGGCCCCACCCCGCCCCAGCCCGCCCCGGGTGGCCGCCAGAGGGCGCCGAGGCTCCGGTGCCCGGCCGGGGGGGGGGGCCCCA